GCTACAACCTCAGCCTGGTGCGTGTGCGCGAGCAGTGAGGAAAGACAAAGGTGCTGTTGTAGTGAGAGATATTTTTGCATGGCATGACAAGTCCCTTTTACTTGTGTTGTTGTGTTTTGCTGAAAAAGAAACTGCAGTGTTTTGTGCAGATTCAGGAATGACTTTGGAGGTGACAGCAGGCTCAAACAGGAGGCTCTTTGAAAACAGAGGGAATTCATCTACCAATGCAGACGTTTCAGTCCTCCCAATGTACATAATGACAGTCTCCTTTTTTCTAGCAAAAGAAGGAAATGCACAGAAGGGACCTACCTGTAAAAAGCATGCATTTAAAAAAAAAAGACAGATATTTTACGGTGCTTAGTTTGCTGAAAGCACTCCACTGTAAATACTAGGACATCAAAGGCAATGACAATGCACAGGACGGCAAAGGAAAACTGTCACTGAAGGTACAAATATTTGTAATGTGAAAAAGTAAAGGGAGGAGGGGTTGAACGAAGAGCCCTCGGACCGGCGTTGCATCGTAGCGACCTATAAGAAAAAAACATATCATTACCTTTTGTGGAAATGCAAAGTGTTCCCATGACGACCCTGTAATGTTTTTTTGTTTTTTAATTATTTTGTGTGTGAAAAATGGTGTATGAAACTTGTAACGTTGACATTGTTGCTCTTTGGTTTTCATAATGACTTGTTGAACTTTTCAGTTTGGGCATCCGATATTTAGTCTTTGACTTAACGAACGTGGGCAAAGAAGGACAAAAACACCTTGTTTCCTCTCAAGCGCATACATACACATGTAGTTGCCAAATATCTATATAACAAGTGAGGACAGGAAATATCAGATACGACCATGATGGAAAATATATATCACACGGTTTCAGGAGTTCAGGACGAGGTTTAAGATGTTTTACTCCTCGTTCGGCCTTTTGATGTCATCCAACAGAACTGAAACAAATCCTATTTACTCACTCAGACGTCAGATATTTAACTTAAAGTAGCTTTAAGAATAAAAGAAGAAAAATGTAGCTCTAGATCGGTTGTAGATAAATTCTACGGTAGGTAAGCGAAACTCCAATAGCAGAGTTAAGACTATTTATTAATTCAGCACAGTAGACCTGGTCATTACACAATATAGGCTTTATACTATAATTATCTACTTTGGCAAATCAGAAGGGATACAAATATTCTTTGTGATATTAATGGACCAAATCAAGCACAGTGACAAGCTTCCATCTATCTCCTCGCTGCATAATAACATATACAGTAATCACATATTATGAAAGTAGCTATGTTATTTTCCTTATGGTTTGTTTACCTGCACTGTGTTCATTGCCCTCTCCTCAGCGCCCTGACGTCGTCCACAATTGCTCCATACTACTGCGATTCTATCCGATCCTGCTGACGAGTTTAAAGCATCTTTTTTTTAATTGTATACCCGTAGTGTCTTGGATTGTAATTCATTTATGTGTTTTTATTGTGAACAAAATTTTCAGTCAAACTCGAACCCAAAGAGTTTTTTCTGTATTTTCTGCTCATCTTCTTTGTCGCTTTTGTTTTACACTGACTGAAAATATCCGTTGTATGTTGCCTTTGATTCCAATTTTTAATTGCTGGAAAATGTGTTCATTGTTTCGGCATGACACTTGGCTGAGTGAATCAGTAGTTTGTTTGTGAACGCCACACAAACCCGAACGGTTCTGACGGGACGTACGTGGGTTAATTCTTTGTTGTTTGTTTTCTTTTTCTTCTTCTTAGTATTATCATCATGTTTTTTTTTTGTTCTCACAGAGAGATGTGGAATGTGCAATACCGCATACTGCAATCTATGCAGGCCAAGAATTGTGGCACTTTATTTTCTGTCTATGGGAATTTGTAAGTGTACAGGCAGAAATTACTTGTATTTTTCAAATGTTATATCTTTAATATGAGGCAAAAACACTATTAACAACCACCAGAATCTCACAAACAATGCAAATGAGGATTTGACTTTTGCTTTTTCATATTATATGGCAGGCATAATGCTGACAAGCACCTTAATGCCACATGTATCAATGGACCTCAAATTTATCGGGGGGGAAAAAGGGATCCAAATTGACCACTTTGGGCCTTTTATATCGCTGTTAGATTCATGCAGGAATCCAACAGACGTCTGTGGAAGATATAAAGACAAACTTCAATGGCCACACACAAAGGATTTTATGTTTTTTGTGAATTAACATTGAGAATGATTCTATTTTTTCTAAAAACCAAAATAGAGCATGACCACAATTTCCTGCCATATGGTGGTTGAAATGATGCGTGCCTTTTCATAACGCCGCCGTTTATGAGAAGGTAGCAAGTCATTTTGCTTTGTTCATATAGCACTGTACAGAAAATTCTAATTTTATAGGAGAAATCAGGTCTTTATGTAATAGATACAAGTAATGTTATTGAGTTCTCAGGTTTTCTATAACTCTCTGATGTTCCTATTGGATAGATTCTTTGTTTTTTCTTTAACAGCTATAACGTCAACTGGTTACTTCTGTACTTTTTTGAATGGTGATGTTGTCAAATCCATGTCGATGTCTCGGCTCCCGGACTGCAGGAGCGGCAATATTTCTCCCTCCTCCCGGGTGATCTGTGCACCACATTCAGTATCCATCTTCCCATCAGTCTCCACAGAGGCAGGACAAAAGAGGTTGGAACAGAAGGAGAGTGAGGGGTCTGAGTGACGGCAGACAGGCAGTGAGAGATCCCTACTGTCACCACACTGATCCATCTGGTTATTTCCCATGATGACACAACTCTGTGCTCTCGTCCCTGCAGCTTGAGAGGCTATGACCCCATGTCATGCCCTCAGGCTCATGGATCAGTGGGTGAGAGGAAAGACTAGGATGAGGGAATGCTGTGAGAGAAAACTCCCCCCTTAAAAAGTGACATCACATCTGCCGTGGTCCATATGTTCTTTTGTCTGTGTAGCCTTGACCAACGTGATTTGAGTCCGTAAACAGAGATTCATGTGAAACGATTGATCCCTCCTTAGAAACTCAGATTCCTTGCTCCAAAGTAAACACGTGGAGTCATGTACGTCCATTTATTTATTTTTTCATCCGTTATTTGTAGTTATCATGTCTCTGTGTTATCCTCGAGTAATCCTTCATTTTGACAGGCAGGGTGGAGAAACAGGATTTTTGATTGATCAGCTGTATCCCCCTCGGGATTGACGTTTGTGTGGATACTGGAATGAATTGCGTGAGCTGACAGCGGAAACGGATTGTGCTCTGTCTTACTCTCTCATGATGGCATTATTACCTGTGATACTGTACAGAGTGCAAACGTTGTGTCTTTATTTTCTCTGAGAGAATGGGTATTGTCCGTGTCACTCATGCGTGCTTATTAAAACCTTACTCCCAAAAATACATAAAGCTATTATTTTTCTTCTTATGTCTTTGTGTATTCTGCCTCTTACATTTTTATTTGTTTGTTTTCTCTGTTCAGCTTTTTAGAACATGATCATTAGACACATTTTGAGCTACAGACTGTTTCTGTACAAAGCGACATCTTTGTATGCATGTAGTTGTCCGAACAATTATGTGACCACAGAACACTTTGTTATGGTACATGTATGTCAACATTTCTGTAGAGCATTGTTCCCCATTACATCTATTAGCATATGCAGAATTACAAATAAATGTGTATATAACTCGTGTGTTTTTGTGTGTGTGTGTGTTTGTGTGTGTGTGGTGCTCTATAGATAATGTTTCTTGGCTGAGTCTACATTCCCCGGATACATATCTTGTATATTAAGGATGATTACATGTTAAGATAAATAAATCATCTCTATAGAGCATTAATTAAAACTGATTCTGCATTTGCCGCAAGAAAGTATGAAAAGTTATCTTTTTCATATCCAAAAGTGCACACAACTCAGCAATCTGGCATGGCTGGCTTATAAATGATTTATCACTGGAGGGAAATGTATTCCATTCCATTAGATGCAATTAATGGATCTCCGCTCTTCTGCTGTGAACTGCTGCCAACGAGTGATACTGAACATGAGCAGCTCTCCCAAACCTCAGAAACCACAGGATCTGGTGTGTAATGTCTTTGATACAAAACAAGGGTACCCATGCATACTCTCGGAAAGAATTAAGTTAATCCAATATATTGATGTACTATTGTATCACATCGGGCTATAATGACAGTATCAATTACGTCCATTGTGCCAGAGGATTAAATTGACAGATTCTATTATATAAGTTTCAATACATAAGGGAGTGAGGATTTCAGTATTTGATTTTGTTAACTTGTAAAATTTGTTGCAGGTGTAGCTTTCAGAATAAGACTAAACCCATCAAGGCTTGTGGTTTACATTTTAAAGTATTGATACAAAAAACCCAAGGCACTCTTGCTTGGTAAAATTAAAAAGCTTCCCTTAGTAGGACTAATGCATGCCAAAGATAACATAATAAAATACATTTATTGCTGCACACTGGGTTTTATCAGGCTGTCAGAGTGCATGCATCGCTTTATTTATTTCTTTTTTTTACTTTTTTTAATATCAAAATGTTTCACCTCTGCACCGAAGAGCACCTTGTGTGACTTTTCTACACATACAGCAAACAAACATGCTCCGTTACTGCCACTCAACATGAAAAATTGTGCAGCTTTGAGTTGCATTTTGGGAAATGATGTGGTAGAGTAATCTCATTTTATGCACTGCACTGAAAAAGCAACAACAACTTACCCTCCTTAACCTCTTAATACTTCAGTGTCAGGGGTCATACGACGTCCTAACACGACACTACTCTGTGGTCCGTTGTTTTCTATTGGACGGAGACACACTCTATTTGTATATTTATTCATTAACTTATTCATTCAATCATTCATTTGATGGTTTTGGTCCCGGTGTCATATTTATTTGTATCAAAGTGCTATTGTTTAGTTGCTCCTGGTCGCCAGAGGGCGCTACGGTCTGTACGGGCGATGCCAAACTATCACAAACCCGAAAGCGCGCGGAAATCAAACCGCTTCCACAGAAGAAGAAGAGGAAGAAGAAGAAGTTGAGCCGCAGACATAAACATGGAGTCTGACCCGAACAATAAAAGTGCGACAGACGCAAGTGAACTCGACCAAAGCGTCAGTTTCCAGCACGTGTCCTCTGTAGCGACAGGATGGATGGTGGACTTCATGTTCCTGAGTCTGTGTCGACATTTTAAAGAAGCGAAGTTCGAGGAATTCAACCAGACGCTTTCGGTTTTCGAGGGTAAGTTGTTAACAGCTAACAAACCAGTGGCTAGTTCATCAACCACCGACATTTAACTTTATATCAACCAAACAGCCCCGGTGTCAGATTTAATATAAAGTTTATTATAACGTTAACAGGGAAAGGGTAACAGTTTGAACCCGGAAATACACAATCAAAATGTAAACAAAGCTGTAGAAATGAAGACTCAACATGTTGCACAGGTCAGACAAAAACAATCATGTGAAAAAGTCTCCGTTAAAAAGTTCTGTCGTAAGAAAGAATTTCATAATAGAATTGAACAGTAGGTACCGTAATAAAACGATAATAATACATTTAGGCTTCTCACTGCAAAGCTCAGCATCGACTAGTGCGTTTAAGTCCCAGTGGTTGATTTTGAGTATACTTGTCTTTTTGTTTTTTAGCCATTTCTCTGAGTCCAGCTCTCAATGGAAACGTCTACAATGAGAAAACACTGATATGTGCCTTCCTCGCCAGAGTCATGCATGGGAAATATCTGGGTAAGTTCCTGCAGCATGAGGATTAACCGAGGCCTGTTCACATCTGCAGGAGTTCCTTGTGTTTTGCTGCTTGTTAGTGGAAATTAGGGAGGACAGACTGCAGATCAGCCTCCACATTAAAACTGGTTTTGGAACTGATAACTGCAAACATTCCGTAACCATCAGTCATGGGATTTAAAACTCTTTTGTTGAATTATTTTCCGTGGCTTGACCAAGTCAACAAGTCATTGTTATAACATTAGAAACAGTGAATGGTTTTAATGCTGTGGCTGATAGATGTAAAGCAGCAAGCTGCTCCCTGTGGAAACTTCTTCCTGAGCGTGTTTATCTGTTGAAGCTGATCCCGACTGAGATTAAAAAATGTATTGCTAGTAAAGTCTCTTGAGTACTTGTTCTGATAACAACTGTAGTATCAGACAGGTGATTTAAAGTAAAAAAGTGTGGTTTTCAAAATAGATATTTAGTTTCTATACTATAAATACAAATGTTCCCACTCTGTCTGTTTTTGCTGTGTAACACACTGTTTGTCTCCAGATGTCATGTTTGAGGAAGACGACAGTGTGATGCCTCTGATGTCCGCCGCCAAAATATGGTCAAAACTGGAAGACAGTGTGGCAGATGAAAGTGTGTTTAAAAACATAACCATTCATTTGTTCGTCCAGGTAATCCTACTGTGAGATATTTGTTATTATCCCATTATAGAATGATTTAAATGTATTTCTGGTGAAAGCTACAGACAGTTAACATTGATGTTACGCAGATGCTTTGTTACATTTTCAGTTTTAAGTCTCATATGTGTTTGCTATGTGTCTAGTCTGTGGCTGTTTGCATGGAGAAAGGCCAAAGATCTTCTGCCTCCTCAGCTCTGAAGTGGTTTGAGGATAACTATGAGCTCCCACAGGTCTGTGTCCTTTATGGACATTTTTCTTTTTAAAAACACTGGGTCAGTACTGTGCTGTTTGATGGCCAAGTATGATTGATTTTATTCCTAATAATCAATACTGTTTCAACAGAACTTGGGAGTCAAGCTTAAAACAATCGTGACAAAGACAGAAACCTACCACCCATTGCTCATGAGCTTCAGCTTTAACCACCTGCTGGAGACAGTCCAGTCTTACCTGGATGTTTACCTGGAGAAGAATCCTTCTGACGACCTTCTGAAGGTAAAGGACCTGATCCAGTGTGTTATAGGTCAATTTTACACAAGGTCACTCTTTCCACTTTCAGCTTAGGTCATAAAATATGTAGAAGAGCTTTACAAGGGGTGTCTGTCCACATCAGGTCATACAACAGTAGACGGGGGTATAGGGGCTTAGCAGAGTATATTGTGATCTCTAACAGGGAATTTGAATCTTGAAAAGTGCTAAAAAGCTTTGAATTTAGATTATTTTAAAAGGCCATAGAGTTTTTTTTCCAGGACTTGTTTTTCATTTACACTCTTCTTGAATATTTTCTTCTCGAAACCCTAAATATCAACGGACATTATAACTTAGTCATTTTCTGTTGTTTTGTGTCTCCTGTGTGACGTGCATGATCATTTTGTGTATCTCCAGGGTAGAATTGTTTCCCTTTATGATAGTTCTCTCTTTGCAGTCTTTTTACTGAGCTCTCTGACTTGGGTATATTAACAGTCACTTAATATCAAGTCTCTGGCCCAGGGGTCTCCTGATCCCCCAGACCATTGGACCTGTGCCCTGTATGCCTGTGTGTTTTATCCTGACTAGTATAACTGTGTCAAAGTAATTGAATCACATTCTCTAAGGTAAAAGGGTCTTAAAAGTCTTCATTTAAATTTTGGTGAACACTGCCAAAACCTTTTTAATATCTAAAGACTTCAGAAGTGTTTTGTTGTCGTCATATTTGAGGTTTGTTGGATTTCCAAAAAAAAGCAGAAGTTCTACAATGTAATGTGGGAATTAATCATTTGTGCAGCTGGCCCCGCAGGACTAATCCCAGTGTAAAATTAAGGATCAAGCTTTTTGTAGATGAAAAACAGGGAAAGAAAATAATTGTGCAAGAAATTGTTTGGTCTGGGAACAAGACTTTGACCAAGAGGATTAGTCTCCTCTTTGCTCACAAATGAAAATAATATGTTGGGTGTGTGGTGTTTTGTTTTCAGCGTAAAAAAACAGGATTTACACCCAACATAAATTCATCTTAACAAGTATGAAAATAATTCTTGAGGTTTATGCTGCTCAGCAGTTTGTGAGGTGATGACTTCACTGTCAAATACAGAAGGTGCCTGGTGTTTTGCTCCAGCCAACAGTGAGAATTAACGAATACATTTCAACAGCCAGTAAATTTTCTTGATCTTGTGTTTGGGAGCTGATCGGCTACGCTCTCGTTCTTCTGAATAATGACGTCCTGACCAACTGAAGGTTCTTACATGACTTATCAGTCACAGCTAATGGACAATTTGTCATCAAATTAGTTGGAAGGGCAAACTGCTCAGTTCAGCAGAGGCCTCCTCAGGGTCCAGCACACTTACTTATTCATGAAAGTTTCAGCAGTGATTTACATGGAGGCTGCTGACCAAGGTTAAATTTAGAAGTGCATTATAATGACAGACCTCATTAGTTTCACTTTCATGTTATCGCAACACCTCCACCTGAAAGTTAATTGTTTTGGGGAAAATAATGAAATAATAATAATAATCACTGTTCTAAAATTTTGTCTGTGTTTTTATGTTTAACTCTCCATCCACCAGGAAGCCACTATGAGGGTCCTGTCATCACAGAGTGTCGAGGGTGTAAAGGACGAGGTGCAGGAGAGCTCTCACTTTGAAACAGCCGATGAATCAGTAAAGAACGAGATAAAGTAGGAACAAATTTTTTAGACCTCATATGTATTGATATCATCCACTTCTGTTCCGTATTTAACATTGTATGTGTACACTTATGTGTTACCAGGACGAAAGAGAGCACCGCGTGTTTAAGGTCAGTACAAACAAGTGTTTAAATGTGTCGTCTCAAAAATAAATCTTTGTCTTAGAGTTGATCCAACACCATTTTTCCTTCCCAGTACCACTTCTGATACCCGGACTTTGCATATTAGTCGATATTGTGTATGGATAAAATACCAGTGCTAAAAAAACATATTTGAAGTACTTTAACAGCTGTATGCTACTAACCCTGTGTGGAAGTGATGATTGCTATCATTGTTGTATGGCCTGGCTGATGTTTAAACACAAATACATACAGAGAAGTAATAAATAAATGTAAGAATACAACAATTACATGCTTAGAATAGCTGTTAAAGTTAATAAAACACCTTTTAAATTTTAGGCAGAACAGTAATGCTTTTTCATCGCTACCAGTGACAGTACAGCACAACTGCCAGCGAAGAAGAAGTGATTTCTGGGGAAAGAAAATTGTAGTTTTATTCGAGTGAAACTAATGTACTTTAAAGACGAGGTATTAGAGCGGCACATGGATTTGCGTACTTGCCGATGCCCGACCCGGCATCTTCAGCAGTATCAGAGACATTTCTATTGCTGGTATCAGAACCTCTATAATTTTTGGCTTTGCTGACTCTGTTAAGGTAAAGGGGGGGATGTCATAAACACAGAACAAAAGGTATTAACAAAAAACATTTTCACACTTGCATTTCAACAGAACAAAAAGAAAACTACTCTCAACTAAAATCACTGAGGTATGGAAACCTGAATCAGGCAAGAAGCCTTGTGTCTCCATCAGAAGACTCTCTAGGAGTGGTAAGTTTCATTTTTCCTCTGACTTTTATTCTCCACAAAATGTAGAAATGCTTTCATAGATAATCCTGAGAATTAACAAAAGCTAATGTTAAACCTTCCTCCATCAGAGGTGTCTCAGATTATATCTGAGAAGTCGATGGACAGCACAGAGATCCAGAAGAAAAGAAAACCACATCAGGTAGGTCGAGCCTAATCTAATACTGTGGCCAGTTAATTCATTCTATCAAGTATTTCCAGCCATCGCTCAAGTGCTGCCTTTAATATGGGGCAAATTCCTTTGAATAGAAATGGACGCCTCAGCTGGACAAATACCTCAAGGCTGGCATCAGAAAACATGGCATGGGGAAGTGGTCTCGCATATTAATGGATTACGACTTTGAAGGACGCACGGGAACGATGCTCAAAGACCGGTGGAGAGTTTTAATGAGGGCAGATCAAGTCTGCTGAAGAGGGAGAGGGAGCGTACACCCTTCTCTTTAACTTGTAAATAAATTCATTGACCTTTCTGGTCCACTTTTTGAAAATTTTCTTTTGTGTTACTGGCTTGTTATACCTTGCTATTTGCACTAAGAAAATATACCACCAGAGGGCAGTCAACACAGAAAGATGACTAGTTGCATTGCTTTCTATGACAGATGCCTTTCATGTTTGGACATCAAATCTGTAAATATTGCACTCAAGCATTTTATCTCGAAGCATGACATTCCTTCTTTCATTTTGTTTAGTCATGTCACCAGGCGACAGGCAACACACACCATGAGCTGTGGTGGGTTTTCTTTTTTTAATAAATGTTTGATAGTCACAAATGTAAAATGTTTTTTTAATTTTATAAATCAAAGTTAAATAGCTTTGACAGATAAATTGTTACAAAAACAAAATGTAGCGTGCTACAATAAAAATGTACAAAACCAACTGACAAGTTTTTAATGCGTGTTGGAAACAGTGTTTTTACACAGTATGCTACAACATTAAACAACAATGGAAATGTGCATGGTGATTTGAAAATGCTTTTATATCATGTGTGACATGTGAAGTATATTAACATACTTCTAGTTGCACGGCGCCACCCTCACATGTATTAAGTCTCTTAGTACGAGAAGCCTGCCGCGTCAACACCTCAGATCTGAGCGATATCTCAGTTCCACTGATGAGGGATCAGATCAGAGCTGTGCTCTCTGGTGTCTGGTTTGGATCAGATGAAGACGAAGCTGTGCTGCGGCGGACAGTGACACTGTTGGGTTCTCTGGACCTTCTTCCACGTCCCGTGGCACTGAGGGTTCCCCAGCGCCTGCCAGTGGAGCAAAGCTTCTCTGCAACACAAGTTGTTGGTGGTTTTCACACACACTACAAGCAAACGTTGTTTCACAATTTCATGTCAGTTTCACATCTGGGTGACTCACAAATCTACTGATTTACTGCTGTTCTCAGGAGTACATTCAGCTAATCTAGGTGGAGGGAACTTGCCCTGCTCAGATTTGTCTGGTTAAGGTGGCTTCTTCTTGACTCATAGTTTCTACATATCTTCCAAATTAAAAGTCTCCCATGTGCCTTTTTATATGGCAAAAATTTTATTTTGGGCAAAATAAGCAATAGGCGCTGAGTGTTTCTACTGCAACACTGCAGTAAACAAACGTCAGTCTGAAAAAGAATAATTTAGACTGACAGGATTTATGATGTCATAAATCTAAGAAACCAATCCTGTCAAACTGGGTGGAGCTCAGTAGCTTTAAGGGCTTATACTAAAGGGCAGCTCAGGCTCAAACCTCAACTGACCGAGAGAACTAAATGAACCTGACTGGCTTTCTGTTACTTATCTCAGAGCCTAATGTTTTCCCCAATTACCGACATGCGCAGGATAAAAAAATCAAGCCCATCTAACGTGAACAAACCAGACAGGCTTGAGTCAAGTATCCAGACTCGCAACACTGAAATGAAGGACGGGGTAAAGTTCCATATAACCTGTTTTCAAGCTTCAGAAGAAAGACTTTAAAATGTCATTGCTGAGAAGAAGATTCATGTAAAAGGTTCATAACTTCATACTTGTCCGACTCCTGACCATCTCCTTGGCAGCTGCCGCTATTGTTTCGCATGGCAGGAGGTTCACATGCCACACACACTTTGAAGCCCTCCGTTATGTAGCGCATCCAGTGTGTGTGTGGCCGGTTCTCCACGGTGCAGTGGGGCGTCCGTGACTCCAGTGTGAATTCCACACAGAACCTGAGGGGAGGCAGGGGCGGTCAGAGTCATACACTCAAACCAGGACTAAAGATGACATGTCACCCAGCTTGTGCAAACATTTGCTTCAGGGGGAAATAAAAAGAAAATACACAATAACACTCTGATCTGCTCACAATGCCTCACCTCACAACACCCAAACCTATTGTGCGTGTGCTTTTCATGTGACCGTCCTCATTAAAGTCTGAGTATTTCATTTCAAAGGATTGTGGGTAGTCTTGGCATTGTTATATTTAATAGTGTGTGGACAGACACACAGGTGAGCAAACAGCGACTGGTGGCTGATGCAGATGGATTAAAAATCTTTTTTCTTCTCCCCTAAATGGTTTGGGTTACACAGCATGAAGCTAAAATGAGATTAACCCCTCGGCGGCGTTGGTGAACTTTTCAACTCTCGAATTTAAAGATACCTGAGGTCAGGTGCAGTTTCAGAGGCTTTATGGGAGCATGATGATGTGAAACCTACCCAGGGTCCAGGGGGTTTCCATAGCTGTCATGCTTAGGCCTTCCCTTGCCAAACTCCATGCTGGTGATGAATGCAGGACCTGACAAGAGGAATTCAGAGTCTCAGTTTGTTGAATTCAGTAAAGCTGCACCAAATGTCTCAGGCTCATAGATATCAGATCCACAAATGATTCGCTGAGAAATCAATGATAAGGAAAGGGATAAAAAAACTTTTCTGGATCCGCCCCTTTGTTTGCATCTACACCAAAATTAAATGGGTTATTCTCCATTTCTGTTTGAGGGCTAAGAGTTGGACTCAGGGTTAGAGTTGGGTTAGGTATTTAATTTGGATGGTTAAGGTTTGGGTAAGGGGTGAGGGAATGTATTATGTCTATGGGTGTCCTCACGAAGATAGAAATGCAAAAGTGTGTGTGTGTGTATACTTTGTTTGTATATATACATACCTGAGTTGAGTCCACAGTGGTTGCCCTGGTGATCCCTGTACTCCCTGCAGCCGGACTGTTGCTCCAGGCTGGGACAGGCCTCTCCACTGTTACCGGGCCGCTGCTCTACCTGGCGGATGCGGACTCGCACCGACGGCAGGCAGGGCTTGGCACAGCCGCTCCAAAGGCTCCAGTCACTCACGGTGCAGTCCTGAGCTGGATGTTACCACCCACATTCATTATTATTACAGGATATCCTCTGCAGCAGCAAACAATCAAACTGCAGTAAACGTCAGGGATGTTGGGCCTGAACTCAGTAAGAGTATTATTCTTATGTGAAACTGTAAGTGAGTTGAGTTTCCAGAACAAAACCTTAGATTAATGGAGCATTAAAGCATTTTGTAGAATTAGTGTTTCCTGCTCTGCTGCAAGTGCTTTGAGAGAAACCCATTCTATCACCCTGATGAAGCTTTGATGTATTAAACATGAAGATTTCTGGTGACTTCCGGCCTTTAACACGTATTAGCTACGCCCGGCTTGTTTGACTGGAACTGTAATTGCTACGACTGATTGACAGAATCGCATTCTTCACATATCTGGACTAATTCGGTTATGTGGGCCAGTCCGCTGAAACGAGGTTAGACACAAAGCTGCCCGGGATATTTGGTGTGTGCCTGTCATTGTTTTTATGATGCTCCGGCCATTTGTATTGAGTCCATTGCACAAGATAGAAAGCAGAGAATACGGAGGGGAAACCACACATGAGAGTTTGACTGTGAGGATGAATATGCACGAGGAATTTCACACGTATGGAAGAAAATGTCTGCGCGTACACACCCTGATAAGCAGCCCAGTAACGACCAGGTACTGAAAATAACCTTTCGTCTCCATCTTTCATGCCAGTATCATAAATCTGAGGCGTGTGCAAGAATAAACAAACACTCCCTCCAAGACGCCCCTCTGTTCATCCCTCACCTGGGCACTCTGTGAAGTAGTCGAAGCAGCAGTCCTTGGTCCTGACGCAGCCCTCGTCGCAGAAGCACGTCCCATACACGCGGTCCATCCTCCAGTCGGTGGTGGAACAGCTCAAGTCTCTGCTCCGGCAGCATTTCCCCGAACAGCCACCTGACACCAAGTGGTTCTCGGCCAGTGTCGAAACCAGCAGCAACAAACAGGCAAACTCCTCAGAGGATCCCATCATCATGAAGGGGGGGGTCAGGTCAGAGGTCAACCTCTGGAGTGAAACACCGGCCTCCTGGTTTCCCTTTCGCTCTTCTCCTCTTCTGGATGTGCGTATTCCCACTGTCGTGCTGCTCTCACCCTGACACGCTCATGACCGTGAGAGGGAGAGTTTGGAAATACCAGCCCAGCCCAACTCGGCCACAGGAACCCTTGTGACCTGGAATTCCTGTGTCCAGCCTCTCTGTCTCCCTCCAGAATCAGAGCGACCTACAGAGCAGAGCCCCCCATCCCAGTTCTGATCATCAGACTGTCTCTCATGTTGTGTGTGCGTGTGCTCTCTCTCTCTCTTTCTCCCCGCTCCCATCTGAGCACCTCCCTCCAGTCGATCACACACACGGGAGGAGACAATGAGGGCGAGGGAGGGGTGAGCCACTCAGTGTTTCCCCTCATGCCTCTGTTCTCTCTCTTTCTCTCTCTCTCTCTATTCCTCACCTGTCTCCTTGTTTACCTTTTCTCTTTCTTTGCCTCTCTCCGTGCAGAGTTACCGTGACCCCGGTGTGAGACTTTGCCCACCCCAGACCTCCAGTCCCAAAAGAAAGGGAGGAATGTGAGCAGTTGGCAGGTCTCCAGTCGATTGTGCCAGGGGGGCCCGCTGAGCATTGTAAAGCCCCCCCCCCTCTGGTTCTCACCTCTCTGCTGCCTTCTCTGTGGCAAAAATCAGGATTTTCTCTCCTTTACTTTGGATGTTCACAGTTTCTTTTCGATTATCTGATATTTACTTTGTTTAGAGGAATAGTTCACATTTTTTGAGAAATAAGCTCATTTGTTTTCTTTCAAAAGCTTTTGAAAGACTTCAGGACCTCCGTGAAGGTGTTTTCACCTGTTTGTTGGTTTGTTTGTGAGCAAGATGACACGAAAACAACTGAACAGACTTCCACAAAAGTTGTGTGGAAGGATGAGCTGTGGGTCAGGGAAGAACTAATTCAATTTTGGTATGGATCTGGATCACAGGGATATGGAGCTAGAGCTTGCAGGCAGGAAAACCAGGAGACGTCTAACATGGTTCTGCTGATGATATCTGACGATATTAACCCGCCATAACAATTTCTTAATTAATTCTATCTGTACAAAAATACAGGTTGTTAGATGCAACCTCACAGTGATAACAAGCCTCTAGGAAATGACTGCACCCGCCCAGGAAACAGTCTGTAAATAGAACATGTCATTATTTGCAGACCATGGTGTGGCCTTAATGTAAAACTGTTGACATACAGAGTAGGTGAACTGCAGATGACACATTCATTTCATTCACTGTAATTCAGCAGGGGCCTGTTTGTGACATCTTATTCAGGCTGATTGTATTATCTCATTAGGATTTAGCTCATTGGTGACAGTGGATTGGTTAACAGGTCTATTAGATTTGCTGCCGTGAGGGAAATTAAGACATGCTGAAAGGAGAAGGAAGGTTTCTATTATCTAGTGACCGAATGATGTTATTGCCCATTAAAAAAAAAAAAA